TTCTGAGCAAAAAAGCCAAGATGAAATTTTAATTGTATGAGGTTACTATGAAAGAAAACGCACAATCAAACTTTTAGTAAATATTCCACCTTTTCTGAGTGCATAACACTGTTAGATAATTGGTCATTTCAATTCTCAACTTTGGATTATACTCTCTTATTATTGTTTTCCCATACCGTATCAGCAAACAATGCTGGCTCCTGCGACACCACACCCACAATATTCCGTAGATACTCGATGTTGAAGTCCCTGATTGGCGTGTCGTCTATAAATATCTAAATATCACTTATCTCTGCCTGTTCAACTTGAAGCATTGCTGCATTTTTTCTCAAGATCTATTATGAAGGTTTTGAAAAGGCATATGCTAGATATTTAGTAGCTTATACCTTCTTCGCTTTTTCTGCTATTGAAATGAATCACTTACTTGTCCTGACTGTTGTTCATAAAATCTAAGCAGTAGACCAACAAGTGTGCTTTTCCCACATCCACTATGGCCGACTAGTGCGATATGCTGACCGCTTTTGACATTGATAGTAACTCCTTTCAGCACTTCAACCTGAAAAGTTCTACTGACGCTATGGAACAGAATGTGCCACAAGTTACCTCGGGACGTGATGGATAAGAGAACCGCAAGCCCTCCAACTTTATGTCGCCTTTGACGGATTCTGGGATCTTCCCAGCTTTCGAGGTCGAATTTATCGGAGGCTCCTAGTAACCTCAGTCATTGGTGACAAAAGTCTAGATGTCAGTAAACTTCATACTCTGTCAATAATGGCGAAAATTGGCGCAGCCGCCGTTGTACTGGCTATGAGTGTCCCAATTTGAGGGGCAGCTTGGCCTACAGCGAAAGCTCCACCGATCACAGCCCAGAAGACAGCAAAGACTGTTCCAGGTGTTATGCTACCGGATATTACCAGCTTTGTTCCATACCTTCAAAAATATAGAACGAAATTTTCCATCCACTAGATCATTTTGCGAAAACAATGGCAATTTTTCAAATAACTCAGTCGAAATTGTGGAGCAAAATGGATTTGTAACCCTACATACACTCTTTATGCCGTTTTCCGTGGGTGTCTAATCACAAAAATTAACCTTGTTTGGTATTGGAGGATATCATAATCTGTAGTTCTAAAGCCAGTGTGGTAACCACCAATGCATGTGTATTTATGACTGGACGAATTTTTTCTCAATTGCAATGGTCTCTTGTCGTTTTTCTAAATTATCCAATACCCCCTATCAATTGTTGTCTTGATCAAAATTTTTACCGCTTGGTGAACGTTGGCATTGCTATTTCGTCAAACAACATTGTAAACTTGAGAATTTTTTGTAAGATATGAATGTTCTGTAACTTGAAGCTATAAATCGCACATAAATTAGTAAGTTTTAGTCTGCGTACGATAAGCTTTGAAAATAAGTCTTATATACCGAAAGTACGTTTAAAACTGACCAGAACGATATAGCCATCGATACAAACAAAGCACCCATGATAAATGCTGTTCCGAACGATGTCAGCAATGCTTTTCGTACTCCATACTTCATTCCTCTGTCCAGATGATTATCGTACCTGAACAATTTGGCGTTTGATTTCTGCGTCGTGTGTAAAGTTAGTATCTGTTACCGCTTTATCTCTTTCTCTTGACCGTTGAAGGCCATCACCGTTCTTATCCCATGAATTACCTCTTCAGCTGTCCCACCAGCATCTGTGTACGCTTGTTGCTCCTTGGGTGCGATTTTACCCATCAACTGAAAAGCCAAGGGAGTAAAGGAGCCGCAAGATGCGAACGCAGGAACAGGAGGAAACTGGTGAAATGAGTAAACTTTACCTTTGAAGCGATTGTCAGAGGTCCAAAAAAGACGGGAAAGAACGCGATCATTACCAAAGTCATTTGCCAGCTGAAAAATTACTCAAAAACATAAAATGCAGTGTTTCAGGTTTTAAGAGCTGTGAAACTTATTCCATCAGTGAAAGCTTACCTGTTCCACACAGCAACGTTTATGCCAGCAATGAATGTGGCGAAATAAGCAAACATCGCTCCGAGCTTGTCACCTATCCCGTCTCGTATTCTATCGATGCCACTGTAAAACTGTATTTATGTATAACAAAATTTAGTTCAAGCAAAATTTTCATGAAGCGCCATTGGAAAATAATTTGGTATGGTACTAATGTATGTCCGACTTAACTCTTTCCTATGGTTCACTAACTACTCTTCGCTTTACCAAACAGTATA